GCGGAAGTGTTGTATAATACATCACTTCTGCATTCTTGTGTCACTCTCCAGCTTCAGAAGCTGGAAAGAAGCTGATGGAGCAGATCTCTGCTTCATCAGCTTCTTTTGGGGGGTCCTAGGGGACATTAGGGGTGTTGGAGACCCCTAATGTCTCCATAAAGAGGGCCTGTCACATATTTTGCTATCACATAGGGGGCTTTTATTAGCATCCATATGTGATAGCAAAGTTTAGTGGGAAAAAAAAAAATAGGAAAAAAAATAATTCCCCCCCAAATTTTTTTAAGTTACATATAAAAAAAACAAAACATTTTTTAAAGTCCCCAGCCATACATACACGCATGTAAACATGCATACGTGCAAAAAAGACGATTGCGCCCATTACGCCGCACATGTTACATATCGCCGCGAACGTCACAGTGGGAGCAATAATTCTAGGGCCATCAAATCACTGATAACACTAACCTGATGAGCGGTAAAAGCTTTTAAAAGCGTTGCCTATGGCCAATTTTGGGTATGGTAGTTTTCTGCGATTTCGCAGGTGCGCGCAATTTTAAAGCTTGACATGTTTGGTGTCTATTTACCCGACGTGACCCCGTCTTTTATATTTGACCAAAAAAAATGGGTAATAAATGTTTCCTAACATAATGTTAAAAAAAAAAGTTTTTTCTTCAAAATTTTCAGTAATTTTTCCTAATTATAGTAAAAAATAAAACCCACAGTGGTGACTGAATACCACCAAAAGAAAGCTCTATCTGTCCCCAAAAAATGGTATAAAATGTATTTCAGTACAGCGTTGCATGACGGAATAAATGTCAAAGTACCGCAGCGCTGAATACTGAAAAATGACCTGGCCAGGAAGGGGGTCTAAACACCTGGTCAGCAAGTTAAAGAAGGTGATCTAGTCCTAGTACTGCTTTTCTACAACTTGTCTATAATTTTATTTAACATAGTTAGAACAAGGCTTAATCTTGGCTAGGTCCAGTGTAAGTGTTAGCATTAGGGTGAGTATCATTGTGTTTCAGGTAGTTAGAACAAGGCTTAATCTTGGCTAGGTCCAGTGTCAGTGTTAGCATTAGGGGGAGTACCATTGTGTTTCAGGTAGAATAAAAAAAAAGTTAAAAAAATTTGTATATTTAGTATTGTAGTACCAGAATCAGTTTTTTGGGGGGTTGTTAGGTATCGGAAAAAAAACACAAAACAACCAGAATAGACATTTTATCTGGGCCCTGCTATGGGTACAGACAAACTAACGCACACATGTGGTATCCCCATGCATTTCATGAGTAGGAGAATTTATTTTAGGTTGTTTTTTGGCCCAGTTATCCTTCAGGTGAAAAAAAAGAGCATATCTACTATCATTTACCACTAAATGAAGGTCCAATTTCTCTTGAAAAAAAGGTATAATTCCCCAGCATACATGAAGTAATTGCAAAAATATTAAAAACATGCTAAAGTTGCAAAACAGGGTTCAAGGTTTGTTTTACCTTCTGCATTCAGGATTTAAGCAGAAGATGCTGTATGCATCAACGTTAGATCAAATTGCCAGAACAAGTAAACCTCTTATGTCTACTGGGAAGACGAAATTATTACCTGTAGTGAAGTTATGGACGCGCTGTGACCCTGCAGAATGGCCAGTGGAGCACATGTCCTTAGGCACCAGATTCTGATCATCTTGTCACAGCTTCCAGCGGCAATCATTGTATTTTCATAATTCACAGCCATGTCTGAGATTTCAGCAGCGTGCCCTCTTAACGTTGCCAGGAGACGACCATCATCTGTTGCCCATATTTTAACCAGACAGTCATCAGATCCCTGAGATTTAAACCATGCTGTTAAAGCACCATATTCAGTATCACAGGTGTGAAAAAACAAAGTAGCAATCTACCAACTTCTAAAAACAATTTGTGTGTTACAAAGGTAATCAACCAAATGACAGCTCTAATGAATGTTCATTTTTGCCTTCGAGAATTTATCTTAACTCTCATTTTATACTAAACACCATTTCAGTGAAAGATCTGGTGGAAATTCTTAAAAAGATGGCCATACACTGTGCAAAATTCCTCAAGAACTGGCTGAAATTCGAACTGTGGGGTGCTGCTGTCATCACCCTTTTGGCTGACATCCCTTGATCAGAAAATCTTTGAACGAACCAATAACCTGTCAGCTGTTGGCTGATGGCCACCTTCAGAATACTAAGGAAACAGGGGATTCCTCGATCAACAAGCTCCTACCATTGATGGATAAATCTACTCTATTTTTTTTAGTTCGGCCCGTGGGTTGAACAAAAGAAAATAGAGCAGTGTACAGACAGCATTAAGCATCATTACAGATTCAAAGATATTAAGTGGAATGATACAGCCTTTCAAAAGTAAACACACATCTCTAGTTTTTGTTGCACAGTACATCACTGCACAAACAGAAAGGAATATTTGGATCTTAGATCAGACTGTAGAATGCAGTGTATCAAATGCAGAGTACTGTGCACAAGTCTGGGTAAAAAGGATCCAGATCTTTACCTTTGCCTCAAGCACTATTCATCTATTAGCTCTTCACAATGCTACATATACTCAGACATGTTCTTTCAACATTACTAGTAATAAAACATTTTTTATAATTAAGGGCTTCTGACTCTATGGAGCCCAATGTAGAGGTCACAACTGCTATTTTACAGATATTTGTCAATGGAAATCTGCCTACTTTCCACCATTTCTTTTGTTTCACACTGATGTTGCAATATTCTACGTTGTCAAAAAAAAAAATATTTTAGGTGTACATATGTGATGTAGTCTGTTCCTAGCGTTCAACATGGGTTCATTACCTGATTATCTGCTATTTTTCCACTTTATTGAAAAAGCCAAGCTGACCAAAAGTGGAAGATACATTTGGATCACACCATATAACACTGTGGAGGCTGGTTACAATGGTCAGCTTTTATTTAAATGGTTTAAAACTTTTCTCCAAAAGAAAAACTTATCTGAACTGTTCTGTACTGCTGAAAATGTGTCACTGCCGAGACAGATACCAACTGACAAGGAGTACTACATGTCCTTAGTTTCCTTTATTCTCCACAACACATCCTCAAGGTTTCCATAAAAAGGACCTGAAAATTAAATGAAGTAACCCCCTCCCCCCCAGGAACAAATATACACCATTATGACACACAGATCTACTACACTACAAATGATATATCCCCATACATGTTACAGGTTCAGAAATTATTTTAGGGGCTTTATTTTACCAAATAGGTGACGAGCTGTTAACCTTCGTCAGTAACTATTTTCATGTACCTTTGATGAAAATATACCTTTAATAAACTCAAGTTTTTTTTTAAATTCATCTGTTCTCCAATATACTCTGCTTGGATACGCATACCACGGCCCACATTTTATGGGGGGGTGGGGGGGTGTAAAGCCATGTCACACATTTATGAATGTACCCCTGAGGATTGTTCCCATATAAAATTGTAAGGAGTTGTTCTTTAACAAGACAATTATGTGCAGTGATATGACACTACAAACTCTGTGACACCAACCAAGACAAGGAGTACAAAACAGGTTTATTACTAATTCTCTTAACTATAATTTCTAAAAAAAAATTAAAAGAAATCAGATCAAAACTTACTGTAAATATTCTTCGGCCAGTCCGATCAAAAGTCACACAGTAAACAGAGGAGAGATGTCCTAAAATCCTCTTGTGCATCTTCATATGCTGATAAACTGCTGTCGGGACTAGGGTCTCAAACTTGTACTTTCCATTTAGCTTTCTTGCAAAAAGTGTATTTCCTTTCCAGAGAAACAAGGTATATTTAACATTGTAATCATTCCCGACATTCAAGTCTGTCTCAGGTTCTCACTACCGACATCAATGTAATTAAGAGTTTGAGGTCTTCACATTTGACAAGATTAAGCACGAAGAGGGGAATTTTTTAAAACTGGAGCAGACAAAAACTGGAGCAGCTGTGCATGGCAACCAATCTGCTTCTCTCTTTCATTTTTAAATCTTAACTGAAGAAACTGGAGGGATACGCTGATTGGTTGCCCTGGGCAACTTCTCCAGACTTTGTCTGCTCAAGTTATGATAAATTCCCCTTTGAATACTTTAGGTTAACTGTTATTCTTCCTAAACAAACTGAAGTGCTATTACATGGTTAAAGAAAAACATTCATCTCTTTGAATGTGTCTAAACACAACTTAAAGGAAACCTGTCATGAAAGAAGTATGACAGACATTGAAGACCTCTGTCTAGAAGCCTGTCCATCAAGCTGATGATCTGGCCTTAATACATTGAGTCCTGGACCTGGAACAAGTTTAGTATAGAGATGAGGATTCCTGACCGATCTGCTGCAGGCTTGTTCCAACAGTGAGAAGTACTAAACTCAAACATAGCCAGGGAACTGGCATTTTAAGCAGAAGGCCAAAGATGGTAGCAATCATATACCTCCCATGATAGGAGTACCTAAAAGTAACACTAAGCTTTAACCCAGGAGTTAAGTCTTACAAATGCAGTACACCTTAACCATTAACAAAAATGTATCTCATTTGTGCATCACTCGGCTGTAGATCCTCAAATCATCTCTGAGGCCTTGTTCACACCAAGCGCGGAGCAGATCCAGACCAGAGCAGGTGCAGACCGGATCAAAACTGCGTCCAATGTATTCCTATGGTATTCTGACCTCCAGTTCACATTGCAGCGTGCGGATCCAGACCAGATCCAGAGCAGGTGAAAAAACTGCGGCAAGCCCTATTTTACCTGCTCTGGATCTCCTCTGGAACGCATCAAAAACGCATGCAAGTGTCTGAAAGCCCATGTTAAACTTATTTTTTTTACCAAACCGGCCCTAAACGCATCAAAAACGCGGCACAACCCACCGCACTGCGTGCGCAGAAACCTGACCGGATCTGGTCTGCATTTGGTGTGAACAAGGCCTGAATTGGTGCCGACACGGTCCTTCCTTCTGGAGGGTGGCTACTTTTGTTTCCCATGGTCCCTGTGTGTTATAAAGTAGCCACCGTTCCCAGCTTGCTGCTGGGATGGACACAATCTCAATACAGATTAGTAAACTAAACATGAGATTATGGTCCATTAGGGCTGCAACTAATGATTATTTTCAGAATAGATTAGTTGACCAATTATGTTTTCGATGAATTGGATAAACAAATTAAATAAATACAATCCTTAATTTAAAATACACAAATGGAGCGTTACAAAGTTTACTTCAGGACAAAACTACGTGCACAATTTTTTGCGGCAGTGTTTGTTCAGCCATAGCACCAGTGAGTCATACTTAGTATTCTGCTCACAAACTGCCCCCACTCCGGTCCATATGAGAGTGACACGGACGCGGTCACAGCACCCAGCACTGCCTCAGTACCGCCTCGCCTTCCCCTCCGGCTAACAGCTCTTCAATCTCCAACTGCGGCCGACAATTCTCACAACTCCTTCAGCCTTTGACCCTGGACCACTCGATCTTCTTGCAAGGCCGCCCCTCTCCTGGTCCCCACATCCAAACGTAAGTGTAAACTCCCGTTTTTACACAATTTCCTAGTACACCTTGACAATAACAATGTCTAATCATCCCCACTACTAGTTTTGCACCCTGTTGTGAGTTTTTTTTGGCCACTGCACCCGACCACTGCTTGCTGTGCCCTCCTCCCAGTGTGGAGGAGAGAGCTATGGGATCCAACCAACTAATCGATAATGAGAATAGTTGACAACCATCCTCATTATCGATTAATTGGTTGCAGCCCTATAGTACATCACGGGAGCGAGCTTGGATTAGTAATCATGGATCATGCTTAGCAAACTAAACTTGATTGTGGTCCTGTGATGGACTGCAATCTCATGTTTAGTTTACTAATTTGTATTGAGATTGTAGTCCAACATGGGAGTGAGCTTGGAGCGATGGCTACATTACAACACACACAGGGACCATGGGGAACAAAAGTAGCCACCCTCCAGAAGGAAGGACAGTGTCAGCACCAATTCAGAGATGATTTGAGTGATACACAAATAAGATACATTTTTGTTAATAGTTAAAGGTACTTAAATGCATTTTTAAGATTTAACTCTTGAGTTTAGTGTCAGTTTAAAAGCACAAACAAGGACACACATTGCTTATGGTGGCCAGCAGGCATCATTTAAACATTTATATTTCACATAGCATAACTTAAAAGTTTTAATAAAAAAACATTTAAAATGTGCTGCTTACATTTTAAGTGCTGTATACTTGCTTATAAATCCAAGCCCCCCCTTCATCCATATGTAATGTTAAGGAGGGGACTGAGAAATTATGTTTACTCTAATTAACCATGTGTGTGCTGACAGATCTCATTAACAGTCGTAAACTAGATTTGAGCACCATCTGTCCTAACAAATGGTTTTGGAAGCATTGTATATTAATGAGAAGATCAGGCTGTCCCTCAGTTTGACCCTTTAGTTTCACTTTACAACTGCTCAGAGTAGCCAGGAATCTGCACAAAGGCCTTCACAAAGAAACATCTAAAAAGGTGAGAAATATATTAACCTGCCTGGAGGTATTCCCGAGTGTGGCTGGGGGTTAATTTTCAGTACCAAAAGCGGTAACCCGGAGCCACACTCGGGATTACACTGTAGTGTCACTTACCTTCTCCCTACGCGCCCCGCTGTGTCCTTCGGCCGATGCCGGCATCCGTCTTCCGGGTTCCTTTCCGTGCGAGCGCAGGCGTCGCAGGGAGGAGAAACCGGCGGGAAATTCAAAAGTGAAAAATAGAAAAAAATAAAAATACTGACCTAATCAGACCGCCAGGGAGGTTAAAAAAAAACAAAAAAAAAAAGAACTTAAGGTATGCCGTGTGTAGGGAAACACATACATAGTGGGGTTTTCACAAATCTGACAGCAAAGTAAAAACTGAAAAGGATTAGACATCTTCTGGAAGATAAAACGATTCACCTATTTGTACCTAAATTGTTGCAGATAAGCCACTTGTGAGGTAACTATCATTATCTATATTAATCAGATTGTAGTCCAATGAAGAGTTTAGTTAACAAATGAGTAGCAGAAAATATTATGAGATATTTTTTGCCCTTCCCAAGACATGTAATATACACTCACCTATACTTGGTGAGTTTCCATAACTGATAGGCAGCTCTGGGGGTCTCCCACAGTGTAAAGCCGCAAGGCCTGTACCCTTCCACAAAACATGTTTGCAAGTCATACATACTTTTGTTTGTGCGCAGCAGAGACTGGCGCCCAGCTCCTACTAGTGTTAGCACGCCAGGTACACTTTGAGGAATCTCCTTCTCGAAAAAAAAAAAAAAAAAAACAACTTTTATATTTCTCCCTATATAAAAAGGAAGCAAACAAATGGCGTGGCGGTGCATTGAAGTCAATTGCATTTTTGCAGAACGCACTGGACCGGAACGCAGGCACTGACCGCTCTGGAACTTACTGCTTATGGTGTGAACCAGCTCTAAAGGCTGTAGAGCAGGTCTGTGCAATATAAAACACTAGAACACTACAATAATTGTATATTTCTAGCACAAAATAGAGAATATCTGATTTTAGCTGATGCTAGTTTTATAAAGACAATCAGTTTATCACTGGAAGCATGGTACAAATCATCCACGAAAGAAAGCACTTCTAGACAGCTACATGTAGAGATCAAATGAATCAAATTGTTTTTATATTACGTATTATCTGCTCGGAGGCAAGGGATAATATAACAAACAGATATTTAACAACTTTACAATGAATGACTATCATGGATTTTAAGAAGTTAAATCAATATTTTCTGAATTTATACTCTGTTAGTTCTACAGATATGCAGAAATGAAAAACCTAAAGCACCTATATCAAAACACTCTACAGATAACTAGACATCACTGTCCGCATTCTTTACCACTCCAGACAAAAGCTGCTGCATACATCATAAATTCTCACAATACAGACTCCCTAAAACTGCTGCATATTTCCTTTTTTTTTTTTACTGAAATGTACCAATGAACCAAACATACTATTTTTATAAACTTATGAGGCACACTGGTATGCAAACCCAGGCGTATGTGAATAAAGCGTTGCAGATAAGCAAAAGATTCCAACAACTTTGCTTTGTTTCGTAGATCAGGATAATTCAGACTGACAGCACAGAGAAAATAAAAGCCCAACTCCAACCAATTTTCAAGATTCTCCAAGAGTAGTGAAAGCTTAAAAACTGTGTTAAGTTTTCACTATTGCCTGTGTCCCCGATGGTAACTTTCCCTCACCAACTGTCCTGGTGACAGGTTGTCACAAGGAAGGGAAGGGAAAACTATTCCAATGGGGATTATGCAATCAGTAAAAAAATATTTTTTTTTCTGTAAAGTGCAGAAGGGTTAGAAGCTTTGTCAGGTTTTTTTTTTTGCCATTGAAATCTATTCTTTAGAATCTTTTATCCTGGTGGGACAGGGACAAAAATTTGAGTGGGTAAAACCTAACAGACAGCAGTTAAAATATGATAGGAAGTCCTAACCCTTTCTCACTGGATCCAAAGCCTAAATTGTTTGACTCCATCCAAAGAACAAGAAAACAAAAAGCTTACACAGGTCTTCTATCTTCCAAAAATCTTCTCTAGGTGTAACAAATCAATCGAATTCAATTAAGATATACAGTAAACTCCCAGTTATCCGACACCCATGGGGGATCAGTAGGTGCCAGATAACTGTAGTTTCTGGTTGCTTGAGAGTTACTAGTAAATTACAAGCTGGCTATTGCTCCCCATTGTTTGCATTCTGCTGCCAACCACTTAATCTAGTTGCCGACTGGCAGCGAGATGTAAACAAATATTTTTTTTAGTGTGTACCAAGCAACCGACAAAAAAAAAAAAACAAAAAACGGAGGACATATGTCCTTGATGGGTTTTTTTGCCGGTTGCTTAAATGCTGGATAGTTTATGCTGGATAGTTTACTGTACTATGTTACACAGGGAAGGGAAGAGTGGGGGTGGGGTCTTATATGAACCACATGTAAACAATGGATCAGACAACCAAGTGGTCACTTGCAGATGCATAAAAGAGATACCAGAAGCAGAATGTTTTTAACGAAAAAAAATGAATTTTCCTGGGCTCCCCTTATTTAAAAAAAAAAAAACCACACACACACACGTCTCTGCATTTGATTATTACTGGTTTCATTATGTTGAAAATGTACATTTTGTCACACCTACCTCCCCTGTAGGTTTCACTGATGCTGCTCCCCCTGATACTGGCGCAAGGCAGGCTAGAAAAGATACCTCTAGCCCTTACATCACCCAGAAGGGTTTCCCTTCCCCTAAACAGCCTTCCACGCACCACAGAAAGGGGAAAGGTAGTGTAAAATCAACTAGGTATCTAGCACAAAAGATGTTCCCAAAGAAGGGCGAGTGTGACAGGGAGTGACGTCCGGCTACTGCTTACCAAAATGATTTTTCAATTTCCCCAATAAATCTGTCCGTAGCTTCGGCAAGAGAACATGATTACATTTCTACCAATCAAATCAATGTCTGCACCAAATGATCTGCCTATACATGGCTGGTATTTAAGAGCAGCAAAATGTGGAGGAAAAACCATGGGGAAAAAAAACAAAAAAAACACATTAATATATACATATATTATACATACATACATACATACATACATATATATATATATATATATACATACATACACATATATATATATATCGATCTATATAGATCTATATATATATATACACATATACACACACCAGGGTTGGACAAATCCCAGGTGCCGGGTAGCCAATGCTCCTTAAAAATTATAGCTTGCTCCTAACTTTTGAGGTTTTCTCTAGTCAATTGCGCTGGTTAATTTAAAAAAAAAAAAAAAACCCCTGCTGTCTTCCGACACACACACTAATTTTCACACTGTGAATTTACAACACATCAAGCTGATGACATTTTATGGGTAGGGCTGTTAACGCTGTTGCCATAATTTTACTGAATCACTCTGCAAGGAGGTAACAACAGAATCAAGGCTTTAGACGAGCATTCCCTTTCTGCATCTAAATGAGGCTTCCCATAAAGAAATCATACATCAAACCAGGAGAACTTACACCAGCAGCAACTGCATTTGGTACAAAATACTATTAGGCCCTGCAAAAATGTATTTGGTAATGTATTCTAATTGGCAGTCCACCGGGCTTGTTGAACTGCATAAAATTTACAACAGCAAGGAATGTCTAAATGAAGCAGTTTTTCCCTTGCCCATCAGGATGAAATCAGCAGTATTACTCCACTGTAACATAAAATCTAGCAGTGTGAATTTATATATGTTGCCGTAAAAGATGATAGCATAAAAACAACTGTCTCTGAGCTGGTATCATATTCCCATTCAGTGATGACACATCTGTAGGAGCGGAGCTCAGTATTTACACACCAAGGAGCAGGTGCTGCTTCTCATAGGTCCTAAGGGGCTTGTTTGTGGTAACGCAGCTCTGAAAAAAAATGAATTCCACAACCTAGTAACATGTTTATGTAGAACAAAAAAAGTGCGCTGCACGTTTCTAGTACAATGCAAGACATATAAATAGTAGGAAGAGACTAGGGGAACCACTTTTCATTAACAGTATTTTTTTCTCAGACCAGTGTTTATATGCATAGCCTGATTGTTTTTATAGATTTACCATCTCTAATTGACGAGTACTGTCCCAGAGAAAATGCTTGCTGACACACATCTTTATTTTTAACATTCTTAGGACTTACTGGAACTCACATAGACTAAAGTCACATGGATTAAGGAGTGCCAATGAATCTCAGTCTTAGAAACACTGAAGTATACATTTGTAGCCATTTATTTTTTTTAGACGGGTATAAGCAGAATTCAACAGAACTACAAAACGTTCTCTGAAAGCAAACTTGGAATTAGGAAGAATATGCCCTGTAGCAAGGATGGACAAACACGCTGCAAAGCAGCAAACATGTAATGCAATGGGTCCTGCTATAACACTATAACACAGGTTTATTAAAGTTTAGATACTAAATGAATCACCGGAATGTAAAAGCCAATTTACATAGTGTTCAGTACAATGGGCTGATGAAAACAGTTCAGTAATGGTATAACATTTACTCTGTAATGTGTTAGCACAGAAAAAAATATAAAAAAGTATCTTTACCCAAAATAACACTTGTTCTAACACTTATAAGTCACAGTGCAATCAGGTATCTGCACCGGAAAGACCATTGAAATGTTTAAAGTGAACTATGGCCTAACTCTTTTTGGCCATAGTTCTCCTCAGGGTCACGGGAGGAGATACACTAAATGTCCTCCGGTGACCCAAAACTCAGCATATAGGGGACTATTGCCTGCTATATGCCGATAGCACAGAACCGCAAAGCAGCCAGGACAGATCCTCACAATACTGTTGACATTCACCCCACTGGCTGATTAACAGCTGGATCTAGAAGCCGTACCTCCAGTCAGCGCTCGAGAAACGAGGAGGGAATCCCTTCCCTGACTAACAGTCACCGCTCTCTGCAGGGAGAGGATCGGAAAGTCAGCGATATGTGTTCACTGACTTACCGATCAATAGACTCAACGTGTAACAGTTTCAGTGTCACAGGTCGGCTTGAATTAAGGGGATGAGGTTTTTTTTTTACTCGCCCCATAATTCTTCTTTAACATAACTTGACCAATTGTTATGAGATACTGAATATGTTTAAAGTGTCTTTTACAAATGAGCTCAGGGTGCACTGTATCTTGCAAAAAAAATGGGCCGTCAGCACCCACAAGACCTGATTTCACTGCATTGCATAGAGAGAGACAGTGACAAAGTCATGATGTCACCGAATCTAAAATAAGGTATGTAATGAAAACGGAAAGGTTTTATTTAAACATCTCATTAGCATGTTGGCGAGGGAAAAAGAAAAAACCAAGAAAAGCAAAACATAAGCAGATTAAAATTCAGACTTTGCAACAGCAGTCGAGTGGCTCCCAGGGCGAGTTGAAGGATTACTGTAATAAAAAGGTACAGTTATCCTTTAGGGCAACTACAACAACCACCACAATTTACTGCTTATATTAATATGTCAATGCTGGCAATGTATAACCTTCGCCGTAATTCGTGCATTTTGTTTTCAGATAACTACATCTCAGCAATTAGGGCTTCAACTGACAAATCTTTGGCAGTGATTAGGTCAAATAAAATGCCACAAGCCTGCCTGAAACTTCACAACAGCAAAGACGAGAGTCAGGCTAAAAGAATATATAGGAATCAGTATTAGCAAGTAAAGAAAATGTACTGACTACGCCGGGCTCTCCTTCGTGCC